TTTACAGCATCATGTTCCAAAGCTCTGCATCATCACACAGTCTAATACGTGATTTTCTAGATCAGGATAGCAAAGTCTTTTGAGTTAATGATGAGTTATTTTGCAAATCATGTCATTATTGTTTTAAGTGAACAGTTTATGTGTTTAGATTTCATAAGCAATTATTTACCTGTGTATCATTATATATTGTTTTCTTTCTGTCTGTTTTTGCTTTTGATGGCTGTACTTGATGGCGACTCAAAAAGAAAACATAAGGAATGAGTATGAATCAAACATTCCATTCCATCATTACACAAGTTTTTTTTTACTCCAATGGAATCAACCATTCCGTTGCTCCATCATTGAGACTGAAAACTCCCAACTTATCTTTCTTTTTATCATTTCAAACTTTATGTATTATACTTGAGGACCAATCGCATTCTACATGTTTTCTGTCCCCAACTATTTATGATTTCTGTATGACCAAGGGGAAAAACGTCATTTTTTACAATTATGTTCGTTGTTTGCAAGTAATATAGTAATGAACTTTTAAATTTATATCTTCTATGAGTTAACTACTTGTATGAATTTTCTGATTGGTTACTAACCCTTTCTAATATGTATTCTATCTAATTTTTCAATATTTTTTTCTTGTGAGAAATCACTAATATTGTGGGTTTTTTTTTACTGTAGATTAAAGTGAAAAATAGAAATTTTGTTTTCTGTCCCCAACTATTTCTTATTTCTCTATGACCAAGGGGCAAAAACGTCATTTTTTACAGTTTTGTTGGCTGTTTGTTGTTACTTCTTCTGTCTAATTTCATGTTGGAGCAGCCCCTACAGCCCCTGAACAAATAAAAGGAAAACAAGGAAGTGTTCTTTGTTGTTGCTACACACGAAAATAAGAAGAAGAGGAAACAGGAAACTGATTTCTATTCAAAAGGCGGCACTCTTCAATCCAAAAGTAAAAAGGGGCTATAAATAGCCTACAAATACACAACGGAAACATAGAAAACCAAACTAAAACCTAGCCACTAGAATAGGACACTATAAGACCAAGTATACCACGTTTTCTTGCCTTGAACCTGGTCAAATTTCCTTTATTCAAATACTAAACAAAACAAATAAAAGACTAATCTTTTTTGACCCAAACCCATTATTCAAATCAGCCCATCCATGTCAAGATTATCCAACACTCACCCTCTTAATCTTGACAGTAATCTGATTCCTCAAAGCAGTGCTGGCTCATCATCATCTTGAATCATATTAGCTTCTTCTTCTTTTATTTCTTTCTTAGGACACTCAGCTGCATAATGTCCATATTCTTGACAATTATAGCATTTAATATGTCTCTTGTCTCGATACATACCTTGCTCCCTTCGATCTTCATAACTTTGGAACCGACCATCTCGACCTCTACCACGACCTCTTCCTTGACCCCGACCTCTTCCTTGTCCAGATTGATCTTGATTGAAGTTACCACGTTTGGTTCTCTCTTCCCATTCCTCTTTTGACAGTAAAAGTTTGTTTTGATTTTGATCACTCTCATCTTCATCAAGAACCTTGATTCTCTCTTCATATGCTTTCAACCTCCCCACAGCTTCCTCAAGTGACATGTCCTCTATCTCTGAATATTGTTCGATAGATGCAACAATCTGTAAAAATTTCTTAGGAACTGAATTTAGAAGTTTTCTTACCACTATCTCATCCTCCAAGCTAGACCCAAGACTCTTGAATTTGGATGCAATCTCACTAAGTTTTCCCGAAAATTCATCAATCGTGTCACCCTCTTTCATCTTCAACATCTCTAGCTTGGTTCTAAGTGTTTGCAGTCTCGCCTTTTGAACTCTTTCGGCTCCCAAATACCGCACACGAAGCGCTTCCCACACATCTTTTGCATCCTTATGCTTAGCCACTTGAAGCAATATATCTTCAGGTAGAGTTTGAAACACAAATGCTCTTGCCATCAAATTTTTCTTTGCCTCAATCCCTTTTCCAGTTTCCGGATTAACCGCTTCCCATAAGCCGTATGCTTGTAAGATCGACTCCACCATAATCGACCAACTTGTATAATTTGTAGCTGTTAACTTGGGGCATTGCAGCGGGATACTTTGAGTGGTCACGGGTACAACCTGACTTGATCCTCCCAGGTTTGTTGCTGGCATCTTCCTTAACTTGACCTTTCTTCTTGTACAGAACCAACCACACAGATCACACACACACACAGATCACACAGATCTGAATTATTTAGGATCTTCTTTCTTTCTTCAAACCACCAACACACACTTGCAGGTGCACCAAAACTTTGTTTTCTGATCTTCTTCCTCACTTTGACTAGCTTCTTCACATAGATAGCTTCACCACACAGGTTCCTGTCTTCTTCACCCAGACCATGAATTCAGCACACAACACTTTCTCAGCACACAGCTTTCTCTTCACACATATCAAAAAGAAAAAACCAATCACACAAATTTTTGTTTTGGAACTCGGCTCACACAGAGCTTTTGGCTCACACAGAACTGCAACAGCAACAGGTTCACATAGAACCTTAGGTTCACATAGAACCTCTTCAAAGATCCCACATGTTGAGCCTAGGGCTCTGATACCAAATGTTGGAGCAGACCCTACAGCCCCTGAACAAATAAAAGGAAAACAAGGAAGTGTTCTTTGTTGTTGCTGCACACGAAAATAAGAAGAAGACGAAACAGGAAACTGATTTCTATTCAAAAGGCTGCACTCTTCAATCCAAAAGTAAAAAGGGGCTATAAATAGCCTACAAATACACAATGGAAACATAGAAAACCAAACTAAAACCTAGCCACTAGAATAGGACACTATAAGACCAAGTATACCATGTTTTCTTGCCTTGAACCTGGTCAAATTTCCTTTATTCAAATAATAAACAAAACAAATAAAAGACTAATCTTTTTTGACCCAAACCCATTATTCAAATCAGCCCATCCATGTCAAGATTATCCAACATTTCATTCCCTTCTGAAAGTTTGTTGTTTGCTCTTACAACTATAACTCACTTCAAGTTCCAATTTAATAGCAATTGAGTATGAATCAACCATTCCATTCCATCATTATACAAGTTTTTTATTCTTTCTGTATGTTTTTTTTATTATTGTTTTAAGTGAACAGTTAATGTGTTTAGAATTAATAACCAATTACTTACCTCTGTATACAATCATGGAATTATATACATTCATTAACCTATAATCGTTCTGTACATATTTATCTTCCATTAAAAAGTACGTGATCTTGGTTAATCTTTTACCAACGGTAGAATTGACATTTTGTTCTCCGGACTTCTAAAGGTGGTCTAGGTAAGTCATGAACAGAGGTTGCACTCTGGACTCCCCCAGATTTTGGGGGTTCTGAAAAGGCCAGCTCTATTGTCTATATGAGATGAGGCAACATCTGATTTCTTTTTCACTCCTCTTTGTTATAAGTTTCACTTGAAGCACCTTCATAATATGAAATATTTCATAATAAGTTCATAACATAGCTCAACTACTAATTTTACTTTACTTATCATTCTCAATTCTGCTTTGCGTATCATTCTCAAAATTTTCCATGTAATAATCAAAGTTATTATATTCTTTTACATCTCATGGATCCAACCAAAATTACAATGATTAATGATCTAGGTCTCTCAAATGAAAACTACACAATTAAGGTCCGAATAATCCGACTTTGGAAACAAACAACTTGGTCGAAACTTCATCAGACACGACAAATCGGAATGATTTTAATGGATGAAGAGGTATTTAAACTGAATTGCTTTAAAACTATTTAATTATTTCATATTATCATATAATTAGTTATACACTATTATCTTAATCATATAATTGTTTATTAGTTATTTATTTGTTCGTTTTCTAAAGGGAAATAAAATTGAATGCACTGTGGACCAATCATATGTGATACTAGGAATAGCACTTATAGAATATCTTGATGTTTACATTGATAAGCCAACACTTGGTTTATTTGTTGATGATGTTATGAAGTTCGTGAATACTCAAAACAAATTGTTTATTCAATATACCACTAAAGTAACCAAGTGCATTGATTTTAATGGACCCAAGAATTCTTTCGCTTTTGCAAACTTCCAAGATCTTATCGATAAGGCGATCCCTTCCACTATTTCTTTTGGTAAGTTCATTACCTTGATTTCACATTTTACATCTTATAATATTTTTATATAATTTGACCATCCTAACACTAATTATATACTAACATTTTATATCGTGTATATTATAGATGTCATCGGTAATGTTTTTCAATGTTATCCACTGGAACCTGCATACCATAAACCGGATAAAAAAATTACATTGAAATTGGAAGATTTAGGGTATGTTTCTTTTATGACTTTTGCTATTATTGGTTTAAAATTGTTGTTTTAATTCATATACATTTAGGGGACGACAAGTGTTTGCTACTTTGTGGGGAGATTACGTTGAACAAATTGATTCATTTGTATCCAAACACCGGGGGAATTTTGTAATGATTATTCAATGTGCTAAGTTGAAGAATCACCAAGGTCCTTTTATTAATACAATATTTTATCTTTACCATTTTCAATATTAATATAAGAAATAATTTAATCCAACATTTTTTTCATTTTCTTTTCAGGGCGTGCATATGTTACTATTAAACTAAATATATTTTTTATTGATACTATACTTAGACTTTCTTTTGTAAACAGTTTGAATGAAAAAGAAAGTGGATCGGCTTCTTCATGTTCTCGTGCGACAACGTCTTCCATCATGTATAATGTACATGATGACTTTCTTAAAAATAATAATTTCTACCAAATTTATGCCATCCACAAATTAAATGAGGTATATTTATATTATTAAATCTTAAATTAATAATACTTGATTTTCCTCATTCACTATCATTGCTTATTACTATAGGGGAGTTATGTCATCATTCTTGGCACAATTAAGATGTTTGAAGATAATCAGCAATGATACTACCCGGCTTGCAAGAACTGTAAGAGCAAGGTTTAAAAAATGATGCTTGCAAAGGAACAATCCAATGTTTTGGACCATGTGGCTGAGAATGAAGCATGGGTATATACAAAGGACAAGTGCAAAGGACAAGTCATAGTTGTTGAACCAGGTATAATAAGAAATTTAATATTCTTTCATTATTGTATTTATCTAATTTGTACTCTTTTATTTATTTGTTAAATATCTTACTTTTATGCTCAAAATTCGAGTACAAGTGGGAGTAGTGACGCTTCCTCTGTTTGACCGGGATGTTAGAAGTATTCTAAACATTTCTGCATCAGATTTGATAGAAAAGTATGAAAAGGTATATATTATAAAATCCATAATTTATTCTAATCATTTCTACATTTTCATTCAAACTTTTGTTTAATTTACATTATTATTATTTTTGTTGTTGTATATGGGTAAGAGTGTCGATTTTCCTATTGAGATTAATGAACTTATTGGTAGAAAAATGGCTTTCAAAATTATTGTTAAAGGCTTTACCCTGGAAGAAAATATATCCGTATTTACAACATATCAAAGATAAGTGATAATGTTGACATAATTTATGCGCTCGAGAAGCTTGAAAAAGAAAATAACATTAAACAGGTTTAACTACAACTAAATCTTAATCCATTTTAAATATTATGTTTTATATAGCTGATATTTACCAATCTAAAATATAATTTACAAACTGTTATATAGGACATTGGAACTGAGTCTGTTAATGTCGTGGTCTCAGATTTCAACTCTCATGATACAATTGGTTTTAAGGTATAATTTCCTACTTTTTTTCTTTTTGCTTTGTTACATTACTCCTATGTCAATCTTTAACATATATTGATTCTTGCATTTAAGGATTTTGCTTCCTTCGTTGCTGATTATACTCCTATCTTTACTTTTCCGAAGAGCGTTTCAATGAGTCCATCAACCAACCATGACACCACTGGCCTCCTTTCACCACCTAGCAATGAAAAATGTAAACTTGTAGATGTTTACAATCTTGATGATACTGATTGTGAGTCATCAACAAAACCTTCAACAAAATCCATTGGAGTCAAGGAAAGTGTTTTGTCCACACAACTATTGATTCCTAAAGTCGAGAAGTGAGACATTTTTAACGTTTCAAACAATTTTCCATTTGTCATTTTTTATTTAACATTCCAGTTCAACAACAATTTTGAGGTTTTATGGTTTGTCAAAAATACTTTCGTTGTTGGTTTTAGAATTCTGGTTTCTTTCGTTTTATGTTAAGTATGGATTTTGATTTCCTTATTAAATGTTGTCAATTATTTAGTTTTAAACTGTTAGTGTGTGTATGGTAAATATGGTGCATGTCTATGTATGTATGGTTGTTTTGTTATTAATAATTCCAATTCTAAATATATGTCATTTTGATACATGTTACAGACTTATACATTAAAGTTGTATACAACTGAAAGATAAATGTGGGTAATGCTTCCAGATGTTGGGTTTGGTTTTAACTTTTAAAAGACATTATTACCCTGTTTCGGGTTTGGTTTCTTCTGCAAACAGAAAACATAACCAAAAAAGGTAGTGCCCAACTCCAATATGTAAAGTGTAATGGTGAATCCCCCATATGAAAAGTTTAAGACCCGAAAACATTCATTATATGTACTATGTAGGGGTGTTTATTTTGTGGGTTCCGGTGGAATCGGAATATGAGGTTCCATTCCATGAGTAAAAGTAAAGTATGTTGCTAAAATTAGTATCATTAATTTTCTTATCCAAGCTTTGTACTTAGCCCATGATATCATCTAACTTTCACTTAACTGTTAATTATAGCCTCGAACTTTCATTTTATAGTTTATTATAACATCCTCCTCTTAGGTCCATAACTACATATTGAAAAGTATAATGCTACAATTTGGTCGATTTTTAACACTATTAAACTACTAAAAGTTTACAACAAAAATGTTGAAAAAAAAAACTTAAAAACACTTTGAATGATTATGCCTTGAAACAAAATAAACATCATTATGGTATAAAGAAAAAGAAAGAAAAGAACTTTCGACAGTGAATTCCATTATATCGAAAAAAAAAAACATTTTCAAACAATAAAGTAAATTTAGAGGATGACATACAAAGACTTCCCAAATTTCTCATATTTCAATGTCGGAAAGTAATACCCTTTTTTGTTTGAAATAAGCAATTATGCCCCTATAACATCCATATGAATGCAATTTTTTGTTATTTGAAATCCAACATAAGTTTTGAAGAATAGAAATAAAATATGCATAAGATTGTTACTTTTAATGGTTTATGCATAATGACAGATTTAAACCAAGGCCCATATGTGAGACTAACAAAATACACATGAATCACAGCTTAACAGGAATCAGAAAAAAAAAATTATCGATACAAATAAAAAACACAAATCGGATAATATTTTGGCAGAAAAATGATTTGGCTAACCTGGAAAATTAAAAACAAAAACAATAGAAGATTTGTTCATTCAATTCAAATAAACCTTCGTAATTATCATGTCCAAATTTCGGTCAATCCCTTTCAAAATCACCCTAATTTTTAGAAACTTTTCAAAGATTGGTTCATTCACAGCTAATATTTTGGAATACTTATAGTTTCAAATCAAATTTGATATCCTTTCCAAAATAATTTTTATAAATTATGTATAACTACATTCCAATTTGTCTGTTATCACTGTTTCTTCAAAGATCGAGTTTACAGCATCGTGTTCCAAATCTCTGCATCATCACAGCCTAACATGTGATTTTCTACATCAGGTTAGCAAAGCCTTTTGAGTTAATGTTGAGTTATTTTGCAAATCATGTGATTATTGTTTTAAGTGAACAGTTTATGTGTTTAGATTTCATAAGCAATTATTTACTTGTGTATCATTATATATTGTTTTCTTCCTGTCTGTTTTTGATGGCTGCACTTGATGGCGACTCAGTCATTTTTTACAATTTTGTTGGCTGTTTGTTGTTACTTCTTCTGTCTAATTTCATTGCCCTCTGAAAGTTTGTTATTTGCTTTTACAACTATAACTCACTTCAAGTACCAATTTAATAGCACCTTATTGAAGGTCAGTAATGGTGTTCTTATTGCCGGATGTTCTTTTTTTATCAAATTTTTTCTTTAATTTTTAGTTATGCAATTTTGTTGGTAACATTTAAACAAATATTTGGACAGCCAACAATGAAAGCTACAAAATTTGCATTTGCGTTTTATATTGATAATGCTAAAGAAAACTAAAAATGTATAAAGATACTACAGACAAAACCCAGTTTTTAAATTCAACCACGGAAAATATGTAAATTACTATATTGTTCAAATTAAAATAAGAAAAAATGAAAAACCAACGATTGTTCAAAAAGTACTTCAAGAAAATATAAATATTAAAATCAACAACTCTATCTTCACCACAACTCTTTAATATAAGGAACAACTTTACATTGTTTTTTAACATGTCAAAATCAAAAAGTAATTAACTATGGAGTAAATGAAAAACATTATTTCTACTCATTATACTTGATTTAAAAAAACATGTATTTTACAATTACTATTTAAATAGACGACAACATGACTAAGCATAAATAAGACATCAGGATTAAGCCTAAATATGACCCTAAGGGTAAAATCGGCCACATTGTAATATGCACAAGGTTGAGCAGCTACATAAGAGTAGGGGAAAAATCGACCACACATCAAATGTTTAACACAAAATTCCAGTGAACTTTCAATTATGTCCACTACATGTGGAAATGTATAACCTTCAACTATTCATTATTTCTCTATGACCAAGGGGCAAAAACATCATTTTTTACAATTTTGTTGGCTGTTTGTTGTTACTTCTTCTGTCTAATTTCATTGCCCTCTAAAACTTTGTTGTTTGCTCTTACAACTATAACTCACTTCAAGTACCAATTTAATAGCTTAAAAGATAAAGGGTAAAACGGACATTTTTTTGTTTAACGTAAGATCTATTAAATTTAACCACTCATATTATCTTTAATACTTTTATTTACATTTGTATCATTATATATTGTTTTCTTTCTATCTGTTTTTGATGGCTGCACTTGATGGCGACTCAAAAAGAAAACATAACGAATGAGTATGAATCAACCATTCCATTCCATCATTACACAAGTTTTTGTTTTTACTCCAATGGAATCAACCATTCCGTTGCTCCATGATTAAGTCCGAAAACTCCCAACTTATCTTTCTTTTTATAAATTCAAACTTTATGTATTATACTTGAGGACCACTACCATTCTAGATCTTTTCTATCCCCGACTATTTATGATTTCAATATGACCAATGGGCAAAAACGTCATTTTTTACAATTCTGTTGGTTGCTTGCAAGGAATATAGTAATGAACTTTTTAATTTTATATCTTCTATGAGTTAACTACTTGTATGAATTTTCTAATTGGTTACTAACCCTTTCTAATATGTATTCTATCTAATTTTTCAGTCTTTAATTTTTTTTTGTGAGAAATCATTAATATTGTGGGTTTTGTTTTTTGTTTTACTGTAGATTAAAGTGAAAAATACAAATTCTGTTTTCTGTCACCAACTATTTATTATTTCTCTATGACCAAGGGGCTAAAACATCATTTTTTACAATTTTGTTGGCTGTTTGTTGTTACCCATGTTTTGAAAACCGGACCAGACCGACCAGTTCTGTAACACCCCGTTCCTGGTATATATTTGATCCGTTAAATGTCATTTTGCTAAGAGCTACTCGACGAGTAGTAGCCTAACTCGTCGAGTAGATGCCAGGTTTGGACGTGGGTTTTAAGTGATCTACTCGGCGAGTCCACGCCTTGACTCGGCGAGTAGGCCAGTCAGGGGGGAACCCTATTATTTAGGGTTTGCACCCTATTTAAGCAACATTATGGACCTCTTGTCCAGCCTCCATCACCTCCAGAGCACTAATCCCGAAACCCTAATCCTCCATAAGTGAGCTTGAGCTTTCTTGGTTATTTTGAGAGTTATTTGGTGTATCTTGAAGTTAGTGGAAGAGGTGGAAGCTAGAAGATTCAAGGGAGAAAGAGTAGATCCAGATGCCTCATCCTATTTGCCATCTTTTCTGGTAATCAAGCTTCATACTTGACTTGTAGTTTCATAGATCTTCTTATTATCCTTTTTATGGAGTTTTGGGTCCAAGAAGCTTGATTCTTGAGACTTGGACGTCCCAAGTCATTTTACCCTCAGATCTGGAACCTTGGAGGGTCCTTCTGGCATAAAGGTGCCATCTTTATGGCCATGAGAACCCCATGTATGAAATAAACCTCATTTTTGGTCTTTTAAGCATAAAAGTCTCATGCATGAACGTAAAGTTCATGACATTATGTGTCATACCGATCTTAGGAGCCTAGATCTACCTTCTGGATGAGTTTTGCATATCAGAAATCGAGTTATAGACTTGGACATGCAGAGACTCGACGAGTCGTTCTTGGGACTCGGTGAGTCGTGGCTTGGTTCCCAAGACTGTTATGATTTAGGGGAGACCCAGTTGAGTTTAGAAGGGATTTAGACGAATCCAGGGAAGGGACTCAACGAAATAGACATAGCCATGGATCTGGAAACCATGGGGCTCGGCGAGTACAGGAACGTACTCGGTGAGTCCAAGGCCATCTCCCAACTTATGAAGATGAACTCGACGAGTTGTTCATACAACTCGGCGAGTCACAGACTAGACACGTTCATATGACGAAGCTAAACTCGACGAGTTCAGGGGGAACTCGGCGAGTCAGATGAAGATTGTCTCGATGTTATGATTGAAGGAGAACTCATCGAGTTCTTGCTAAACTCGACGAGTAGAGTCGGGTTGGGGGCAGGTGAAAGAATAGGGACTCGGTGAGTTGGCGGGCCAACTCGGCGAGTCAGGTCAACTGGAATGTTGACTTTGACCAAAATATTATTGTTGACCAATGGTGAGATGGTCATTTCACCCTGAGTGTAGTTATCAGTTTCTGACTATGTGTCATTATGGGAAGTATAGCCGGAGAGTCGTCGGAGCAGCAGCCAGATAATTCTCACTCAGGGTTTCAGCAGCCAGACACACGAGGTGAGTGTCCCTTCAGTAGGAATGGGTCTAAGGCACCAAGGCCGACCCGCGA